AAATGAAAACATTCGTATGAAACATCTCAAATATGCGGTTCATTTACGTATACTTAAACTTGACTAACTTTAAGTAATAAAATGATTATTGAATGGTTTGATGTTTGGATGAAACTTCATTTAAGTGGTCATTTACGCATTCTATTTCTTATTCTAACTGTACTGAAAATTCAAGGTTCATTTACGTATACTTAAACTTGACTAACTTTAAGTAATAAAATGATTATTGAATGGTTTGATGTTTGGATGAAACTTCATTTAAGTGGTCATTTACGCATTCTATTTCTTATTCTAACTGTACTGAAAATATTTCACTTAACGAGATCTCCATAATTTCTTGATTTGTAGAATCCAATTGAAAATTGACTTTGGCTTTGAAGGGAAAGTTATTTTATCGAAAATCGTTAATATATGATAATTTTTAAAACTAATTTGCTATGCGAAAACACCCGCTATTCCATTTCAATCGCCAAACAACTGAGAGCTCACCATATGTAAGCATTAATTAATTTAGTTTAAAATAAGCGCCATTTTTATACGATTGTTTTAATGGTCATGAGAAACCCAGAAATGTAACTATACTATTGATATTAATTACTTCTACTTGCCTAAGTATATGTCGACATCATCTTATTGACCAAGAGTTTCAAAACTATTTTTTGTTTGTTCCTGGTAGCGGAGTCTCATCTCACTATTATTAATATAAAAAAAATCACACGCACCTACCTACTCCAATTACTTAATCATGATTTCATTCATTGGTTCATCACGCAAAACACGGTTTTGAATAATAGATTTCCGTCATGCGATATTGGATCTTGAATGTTTTACATTAAGAGGGTCCATGTTTTGTGTATGAGTCGTGACGTGACACAGCAGGCCCAGGGCTTCTCAGGTTCGTTAATGTTATGGTAACATACTCGTTTAATGATCTCATAACAATACCTGTTTTATTTCCTTGTATAAAATATAATTACATCACTTTTGCCTCGTTTTTTCTTTGAGTTTCGAACAAAGTACTATAAACCAAGTTTAGGTACCCACCCAGCTGCCTAGCTAGCTGCCCCGCTAGGTATATCGGGATATAAAATTATACGAACTCGAATACTCTGTATATCGCTTCTCCATGGTGATCTGGAAACAGAAGATATTATTATATTTACTGTGGTGTGGTTGAGTAACTTCCCCAAATGTGCGCTTTAATTCTATCTTATTGTGATCCTTCTGTAAAATAATTTTAAGCACGACGAATATAGACCTTCCTCGTTTTTTGTTTGAAGTCGGTATAAATATGGTGGCTGGTATACTATCTTCCCCTTTGACACCACCAACTAGAATCAAGTAGTCATCCATAAAAATATAATACAGCTCACCAAGCCCTGGCGAATGCATCTGTTCTTGTGACTATTGTAATTAAATTGTATTTACTATTATTTATTGTCTAGTGTAATCGATTAAGATAATTTGACAATTCGTTGCCGGACAGAGTAAAGGTTCTTTCATTGAGTGAGTGTTCCTGTGACCGGCGACCTCAGCCAAAGGTCGCCCTATCGGCTGGACCGAAGTTGAAATCCTTCATTATTTTAACAAGTGCAAGCCAATGAGTCATACAAAAATTTGCAAGTAAGTTACTTTCGTAAAAATTAAACAAGGAACAATGTTTAAATTAAGTACCTAAGACAACGTATCGGGGATTTCCCTAGTATTCACCATCGTCTTTTAACAACTTTAATTACTTATAACTACAGAAATCTTTTTTTTAAATGGAATAAAAGGAATGTTTTCATTATTAATGTGAGTTTGAATATTTGCTGCTGTTACTTACACTTACAGCAGGTACCTATTTAACCTACTAATTTATTTTATTCTTCAGGGTAGGTTTTGAAGTCTATTACAATTTCAATAAATTTGAATTTTGAGTAAAAGAGAATATGACAATAAATAAACAATGACGAATAATTTCGTTCATTATTCGTCATTGTTTATTTATTGTCATATTCTTTTGTCATAGCCTTTTTTTTATTTAGGATGAAATATATTAACTTACTCAACAAGTTGCGCTTAGTAATTTCTACAACTTATTAGTAAAAATCTGCAGTATTTATATTTAAATGACATACCTAGTCCCAACAATATAAAACGTTTTTAAGTCGATTCTTCCATTAGTGCAAAATCCATTAGTTCCATACCTAACTCACCGTACAGGAAATGGCACAATACGTTTCCTAATCATATCTTCCTAGAGCGAGGCAGACTCGACTGCAGGAAGTTTGATATTTTTGTTCCATTCTGCAATGGAAACAACTTCATTCAAATAATGTTAGTAAATTATTTAAATAAAAAGTTTTTCACGAGACTTGCTGTGTTTTAGTTTCAATTACTTAAATATCGTTTTTATCACATCTTTTAGAGAACAGCTAGTTTGTTCTCTATTTACAGGGATTAAAATAACTTTAATCCCTAGGGACAAAAAGTGTTTTGAATTAGAAATGTGGATATTTTAATCTACAGAAAATTGTATCCTGCTGCCTGGTCCGCGTGGAATTTTTTCGAATAAAATTTTCTTTAGATTTACATATGTAGCAGTATATATAGTAAAATGGTTAAAAATAAAAAATATAATGTGGATGCCAGATTTGTTCATTTTTTATTTTTCTTAATTATGAAAGGTAAAGGCATGCAACCATCAACTTATTTTTTTATTTATCTCTTTTTATACATTACAATGTGCGTATGACGCATTAAATAATAATTAAAATATGACGCCCAACCGCACTCGATGAAATCAATCACGAACATTTTATAAATAAGTTACAGAGTTCGCCAAATTAAACAAAATGTTTAAGAAAAAATACAAACTAACACGCGATATACATAATTCGGATTTTTTGGATTTATAAAAAAAATGTGTCTTCTTCGAGTATCGAGATTGAAAGTATGTTAAAAATGTGATACCAAGTCTTTTACCTACAAAATCCCGCGATCAATATAATATTAAAGCATATGAAAATTTCATCCATTGGAAAAATGCAAGGAAGTGAAATCTTTTTCAGTAAAATGTGTTTTTGGCATATTTCCAAGATTGTCTTGTAGTTCTTGTATGTAAATAAATAAATGTACTTTACTTACATATCTAATCCCTGTTTTCTGTGGCCGGTTCGCCATAAGCAGTTTGAATCCGACTCTACTTGAAGTCCTTCTGGGGTTGAGTGGGTCCACCATGTGTTTCGCTTCCCCAAGGCAGGGGTTCCAAATATCATACTTGTAGGGTTCCGGGGGCGCTTGCTTTGGCTGCTCCAGTGTGCACTTGTTTCTCACTCTCTCTTTTTTTAATTTGCATATTCTCCGAGTAGAGGCTCGGGATGATGTTTTCTTCCTATCTAATTATCGTGCTATTTGTTCATGAGATATCCACCAATTTACCAGTCAAGAGGAGCTCGATAGCACAACTATTTACAGACGTTGGCGCCCTTAAGGGACGCACCAACAAACGGACCTCACGCCTAACCTCTCGCAAGTCTCACGAGTGCAAAAAGGAGAAGCCGTTAAGCAATCCGCGCGGCCTACGAGCGCTTACGGCATACTATCCGCTAAAAAACCCTGCGAATACCCTCTGCGCTGTACGGCAGCTAATTACGCGATCTATTGCCCACCGCACCGTTCCCCGTCCGCTGCGGAAGGACTGCCTAGGTGTTTCCCTGGCAAGCCTTCCCGCGCCGACAAGGCACTCGCCCAGGCCAGCATTGGCATGGGCGAGTGCCTTGTCCCATCGCCGCAGAGCTTCCCACTGCGCGATGGAACGGACCTGCTGCAGCTCTGTTGCAGCCGGTTGCTCAAACCGCTCCCTGGTCTCGGCACGACCTCGATGAACTTCTGCCAGAAATTAATGAAATGAAATGAAAAGTCGTTTATTCAGTCTAGGCTGTTACCGGTATTCGGACCCTCCACACCCGGATAGAGAGCCCCGCTGGGATCCTGCGGCGTGGGCCATAGAACATCATGGACTCGTTTTATCGAGGGCTACGTCCAGGCCCAGCAGGCGGATGCGTCGGGCGACGAGTGACGTGCTGACCGACGCAAGATCGCCGCAACTAGGGTGTCTTCGCCTTCGCCACAACTAGGGTGTCGCCGGCGCAGCAGACAACCTCCATATTGGGAAGGGGGCCGCCTCGCAGGACCCTAATGTACCCCAGATTCCAGAGCAGTGTGCCCACCACTGATCCCTGGGGCAAACCTGCCATCAATACTCTTTTTCCCCTATGACTTGTATGGCTGTCCAATGTTTTTTAAAATGCCGTCCAATATTGCGGACGCCAATTTTTAACGGCTATATGTCCCCCAACATTGCCACTGATACCTCGTGTGCGGGTGTTTTGGAGTCAGCTCGGCGAGACCTACACATCTGCATGGTATCCCGTGATCAAAGTTTTTCCATTCGATTTGGATTCTAACCCCAGTAAGATGTACAACTGCGGTCGAGTTTTGAAACCGCTCGGGACGATAGGCGGTGAGCGACTGACTGTTTAGTTTAATATGTATTAAATATGATGTCGATTCTGGCATTATTCTCTAAACTTAAAACTAAACTTAAGATAACTCATCTTTGCGGTGCAGGATTAAGAAATTGAAAGATTAATTCTATAAATAATCGTCCGCTAACTCCATCACAACTGCCTAGATTAGACCAATATTTAGGATCAGAATGTCTAATATTCTTACGGTGAAATTAAACGTTTATCGAGCAAGATGACTCTGAGCGTGTTTGGCATCAAATCGCTGCTGCCGTGTGACCAAAGTGGCCCTCAATTCATTCAACGGATTCATCTATACGTTGCCGGTGTTTGTTGCTAATCTTGGACGAGACAAAAAATGGTTGGGTTATTACGGCCCTACGGCCACGGTCCCTAGTCCCAGTGCGGCAGGAGCAGGCCGCTTCCGAGCCGACGCCACGCGACTCACGCGAGTACGAGCGAGACGAGACCAGACCAGTCAGTCCCTCGCGCGCCGCCACTCGAGGCGCCCGTCCATGCCGTTAGTGTCCGAATCATACGAAACTTCCACCACGCAACTTGCAAAATATAAGTGCACACTCGACTGCAATCGACATTTCATGTATTTTCGAAGGGTGCGACCATATCTGAGCGTGTAACGGAACGACACAGCGTGCACTCTGACCGCGCAAATGCGGTTTCGGATATCTCGCTACGGAAAAAACAAACATAGCACTCCTGTAAGTTTTGCTTGGCGTTTTTATTAATACTCTATACTCACTTATGAACTTCAGTGTTTACACAGGCAGGCCATAGCTTTTAGCGAACAATATCGATTGGCCACCAATACTGGTTATGCTAATTAATAACGTTTCAAAACCGTTTTTAACTCTATTCCATAGATGGGCTAGTTGATTAATACTTGGCGAAAGTGAAACCACTCCTTTTTGTAATCCTTTAGATTTATGTTGTTTTAATACCTCAAATATATGATACTACGCTGAGTCTATTTAAGTCATATTTATTTACATTTTATACTCATTATGCCGTATTTCACCTTTGAGTAAAACTTCATTTACATTGAAAGCCAAGTAAGCCTACCTCTTTGCCGCAGAATTTAGGTAGGTAATTACCTCAACAAGTGTGATGATAATGATCTTTAATTACTTTACCGTAAATTGTATGCTCAAGCTCAGGTCCTTAATCTGTATGTATAAAGAGTTTAACCCATGAGTTTTACTTAGAAACATTGCCTCGCAACACGATTGAATAAGCATTATATCACGGACGAGCTTTTACGACTTGGATGGCATTCTAGATTGATTATACAACGTGGCAATATTAGCACATAAATAAAGTGCACAGGTACGAGAGTATCTAAAGATGCTACACTCGCTCCACTAGTATTGAAAAATCTTTTGAATTCCAAAGGAACGGATCATCTTGCCCCAATGCTTTTGTCGAATCATTTTATTTTATTCGGGAAATTTACAAACAAATAACAAAAATACATTAAAACTATGAACAACGGAAAAAGCGTATATCACGCATTAAAAAAATACCACATATAATTATTATGAAAAGTTTTACCTATTTTGGCTTGTTGAAAGCAAAACATCCCCGAACTTTATTACAATTTGAGGAAAAAAAATTATTTATATTACTAAATTCGTGTTGCTGAGATTGGGATATTTTACTAATAGCCACTCATTACAGGATCATATTGATATTACTATCTTAATCTACACTAGGTAGTATAATTCTCACTAGGTGGACCCACAGTCCATGTCAATACTCTTTATGTTGACAATAACATTCGTTTTAGGACCGCTGGCATTGCGCCACGATTGTCGCAACGCGTCTTTATAGAAGGAAATTAGTGAATAAGTTAAGACCACAGTTCAGTTTACTTTGAACGTTATAAATAATTATACCCTAAAAATAAGGTCGATTACAAAGAATAGGTAGATAATAAAATAATATCTTATGACGAACTATTGCAGACATAGAAACAGAATCACACAATTCTTACAAGGAACGCAAAAGCTTCCTGAATGCGTTTAAGCATGTGATAATATAATCGTTTGCATGAATATCAATACATTATCAGTTATTGTTTGATAGATAATAATCACCATATGTAATAAACGTGATTTGAGAATATTAATTATCTATTGTATTAACGAGCAATTCTATTACTGTATCGTTTTAAACGTGTTGTTTGTCTTTATAAGATACTAGCTGACCCAGCGAACTTCGTACCGCCATAAAAAAATTTAATTAAAAAAACATTGTCCAGCGTACAAAATTGTGAATCTAAACCATTCTCAGATCCCCTTGAACACACACAAAAAATTTCATCAAAATCGGTCCAGTCGTTTAAGAGAAGTTCAGTGACATACACACTCACAGAAGAATTATATATATAAAGATGTAGGTCTTATTTTTCTCCATAGTGTTTATATTCCTTTCCAAATTATATTATAACTAAAACTAATAGTATGTATGTTGATTACGAGAGTCTTTTTAAAGCATTTACCATTGAAGAACGCATAAGTATTGAAATATAAAAAAAAAACATTGAAACATTTGACACTTTGTATGCGCATAAGCACTACATTGGGTTCAACTTGACGTTCAGAAATAATTATTGACGATGTATGCAGTTTCAATAATGCAAATATTAGATTAATCAATTACTATTTACATTAACTTAACTACTGTTAGTACAACCATTTCAAAAGGGTTTTTAATATCGTTGCGTTTAGTAGCGAGGCCGAGGGTTCGAGTAACATATCTACTGCATACAGCACCTTGATAGTCTAAACCATTCTTACTGCTCTGACCCTTACCCACTGTAGGAAAATAACAGAGTGATTAAATTAGTGTTATTTAGTTGCCGCCTGTTGTTTGTAAGGTAGAGCATTATAAACGTTTTATTTCAAAATCGGTGGCATATTCCAGTTCGATATGCTCCGGTACCACACAAATTCGTTAAGTGGCAAAATATCAAGCCCGTCATGCTTGAATCACGCCCCTCTGTAACGCCGCTCCGAATCAATAGACCGACACAATGGATCAGCCCAGACGGACACTAAACACGGGTTAAACTCTTATGAATTCGAATGAGGAGGGTCGTTGGACCGTGCAAATGTTATATGAAGCAGTCGCTTTACTTACGCCACTTGATAACAAACTGACATGAAGTTTGAACCAACAAGCTTGAATAGTAAGGCCGTATTTAAACTAACATGACGATTACGAAAAGATAACCGTGCAACAAAAGAAAATTCTAATTGACATACGGAAGATGGAGAATGACATCGGTAAATATTCAAATTGTTTTGTCTAACAAAGCAAAATTAAAAAGAAGGATTTTTAGTTTAAAATATGTTAATTTAGAAACTACACAAAATTTGTAATGGATTAACAAAAGAATTAAAATCTTAAATACGAAGGATCCCACGATAATCAATGTCTTGACTTTTTTAATGTTTCATAGAACGTGCTTGCTTGCTTTAAAACCTCTAGATTCTGAAACAGTTAGTTGATTGCCAACATTAAAACGTCCAATATCATAATAAAAAAAACCATTATACCACTCGAACAGGTGTTATAATAATGTACTAAATTTCATAATAACACTCCTTCGCTTTTTAAATCCCTTCTGAGCCAAGGGCTCACTCATCAGACAGCCATAATTTTCACTGCTCGACACATGGTACATATTATAAATTTCAAAAAAAAAGATTGTCATACATGCATGAATTTTAATTTATTTAAACGTCCCATGGTTTCAGAATATTTTATAGAGGTTTCATAAAATATCATGAGTGTACAAGTCTTGTATGCTACTGTTTATACTTAATTAGGTATTAAAACACTCATGTGATAGTATTATCACATTTGTGTTTAAATACCTCTCATTATACAACAGTTGCATAAATAACTATTAAATAAAACGCTAATATAAAAAAAAATCTTTTATAAGAAGGTAACCAATGTTTCGTTTTTGTTACACCGTAAGTAGGATTGACTGGTGCATTAAAATAATACTCCACAGACTGATTGAGTATTTCGGCATATAAAATGTATCCCCGACGTTCTTCATAAGAACTAAGCTTGACATAATAAATCTCAAATCCCATCCCACCCAACCGACGATTGAAAGTTGTTGATCTACCGCAATCACTGAATTTCTTTTCTTAAAAATATACCAAATGAAACTTGAGCACGTTAAGACGTACTAGATTTATATAATATACTAGCTGACCCAGCGAACTTCGTACCGCCATAAAAAAATAAGGGTTGGTGGTAGAAGGGTGAAAATTTAAGGTTGTATGTATTTACTAATGCTGTATCATAAAAAAAAACAAAATTATCTAAAATTGAAAAAAATTTAGGGGTGGATTACCCTTAACATTTAGGGGGATGAAAAATAGATGTTGTCCGATTCTCAGACCTACCCAATATGCACACAAAATTTCATGAGAATCGGGAAAGCCGTTTCGGAGGAGTTTAACCACAAACACCGCGACACGAGAATTTTATATATAAGATTATATATGTAGACGAATAGTATATGCGAGTTATTCGACTGATTTCCATAATCAGAGTAAAACATACACAATAAACTTAACTAGAAAATGAACATGGAAGAAATACAATATTGAATCTCTTTAAGAATAAATATCGAATGAATACTCAGGAAGACAATGAACCTTAGCGCTTTTTACCTGAGTTCTAAAAGCGTCAATGGTTTTTTTATGGCGAAGGCAAAAATTTATTTCAGAATTTATTTAGGTTGTTTAGGTCTTGTGGCGCAGGTAGAAGGAAGGAAAACGTAATTTTACATATACTGGAATGGGTTTTGGTTACTTTTAACATGACGTATTGTTTGTTGGAATGTTGCCCATCATTCAAGTTCAAGTTAAAGTTGAAGACTGGTAAACTTCGAAGAGTATTGTGAGCTTATGCCGCCTTATCTGTTACAAACAATACGCACGTACTACTTTTTAACGAATTTATCCGTTATCCTCCAAATATTCTAAAAAGATATTTAAATCTTCCCTCATTCTGTTAGTAGATATACTCGTAGTTCATTCCAAGATATAAAAGTCTAAGTAATGAGCATCTTGTGGCCTCATTATTTCCATCATCGGCTTTTACTTATCTCTGTGTCTCAAATCAGTTTAACATAATATTACAATCATAGATGCCTTCACTCAAAGATTGACCTTGCCAGTTTAGGTTTTAGAATGATGATAATATTTTTGACTGTGTTAAAGATAATTTCAAGATGCGAATAAATAAAATTTAACTGTGTATTACATAGCATCATACATAAGAGATAAAAAGGGTAATCGTAACAATTTGAACTCTACGAGATTTAGTTAACGAGATTTTGTTAATTTATTTTAAATCCGATAGTAAAACAGCATCATCACCATCATCAGCATATTAATATCCCCACTGCTGGGGCACAGGCCTTCCTTATGGATGGAATAGGCAGATTGGGCCATGACCCACTACGCGGGCCCAGTGTGGATTAGCGGGTTTCGACGACTGCCGATGCAGCCGGGACCAACGGCTTAACGTGCCCTCCAAATCACGGAGAAACTCGAGATAGATGATTTTTGGGCACGCATCCAATGACCGACCATCGAGCTCCTCAAAACAGCATATTTTTTATTTATTGTCCTAAAATTTCAATTTCAATGCACTTCTTTCTGAATATCAT